CGCCTCCAGCACTGTTCTCCACTTGCCTTCCCATTTGCTTTCCCAGCTTCTCCCACAGGCTGAGAGCAGCCATCTGCAGGGGGATGGAACAGAGCCCCGAGCCCCCCTCGTGCTCAGGGACCGATTTAACGGTGGGCGACTGTGCTTTAACAGCGTGTTGCAGCTTCTGGTTGTAAGTTTTGCGCGTGACTAAATTACCGAGCGTAAAAAAAATAAAATGAAATAAAATAGCAGGGTCCTTAATCTCATGAAAGGAGGCTTAAAACAAAATAGGCATTAAAAATCAGCACCTGCTCTCCCAGCTGAAATTGGAGGAACGCAGAACACATGGTGGATGTGAAAAGCGTGTTGGACTCAGCGGAAAGATATTCATAATGCTGGCTCAGGGGGATTGCAGTTCTCCCGGTGCCAGTGGCCAACATGGGATCTTTCCTGACACCACCTCTAACGTGGACCTGCATAAATGAGCCTCCCTAAACTCTGTTAGAGCCTGTAGCTGCATCTTCCTGATGTGGGTAAGTGAGCAAGGAGGTTGTTACTGCACAGTTCAAAAAAAAAAAACAAAAAAAAACCCAAAAATGAACCATACCTTTTGGAAGCATTTGGTCTGTGTACCATTTAAAAAGTGAGCATTAAATCAATGCCATGCTCCCCTGGCATTCCTGAAGGATTGCTTATTGCAGCCACCCCGGTGCCAGAAGAATTCATCATGACTGATGTGGTGGTGGTCTGAATATTAAACGAAAATCAGCGGTTTGCCATTTGCTGTATTAGGAGGCATTGCTCTCACGCCTGTGGAGGATGACCCATCAATAATGCTGCTCTACAGTGGGATTCCTGTGGAATTACACAGTGTCGAGTATCAGCCTTCTCGCAAAATGGTTCATCGTGATTAATGGTATTATTACCTAAACAGAGAAACTAATTAATTCAGCCTTATTCCTTTAAGCCACCCCAGCTGAGCTGCCTTCTGCTAAAAGAACTGGTACAGAAGGACTTCCTGGGTTTTATGCATTTCTACCACTGTTCAGCTTTCATTTTGTGCCGTTTTTACCATTTTTATTCTACTTTTGGCTGTCTCCCTTGAGACTTCCCTCAGTCACAGAGAAAGGGTGGAATTTAGCAAACAAATGATGGTGGGAGGAAGAGGATGGCATTTGGAAGGCTCATTGCTTGCCTCAGGCAACCTGTTTTTAAAAAGATACTCAGGAAGGCATAAGGAGGGAGACCAGGGCATGCACTTGCATTACTTTTCGTCCAAAATGCCGTGGGCCACTGCAGCTTGGTGGAAGGAGATGTGTGCAGCCACCTCAGTTAACAGGGGCCAGTCTTGGACCAGTCAATAAAGTAAGTAGCCAAGATATCATGGAGTGAGAGGAAAAGCCAGTCTACAAAGCTGTAATGAATCCTCAGATCGCTTGTCAAAAATATTAACTGTTCCTTGACAAAAAGTTCTAGTGCTTCCCTAAAAAGCCAGCGTTATTGCCTAAAGCAAGCATGTGGGAATTGTCCATTCCAGCCTATATAGATAACATAAATATTTGGAGTTAGCTATTGGTGACCTCGAGTTAGACAGAGGGTTGGTGCAGGGAGCCCAAGGACTCCGCAGGCTGATCTTCACCGCCAGGTCTGCATCCACTGGGCCAGCATCACCCAAGCCCAGAGAAGGGAAAGACAAGAAGCCAAGCAGTCAGGAATGCAATATCCTGAGAGCTTAGGGAAGAGCGAGACACACCAGCTGTGCTTCGGGCAGGCCAGCAAGTGCCAGGATGGGAGCAGAGGTAGAGCAGGGGTGTGCAGCTCCAGCTGGAGACAAGAAGCCGTCAGTGGTGGGAAAAACAGGGGTCGTGTTTTCTTTGGCTTGTGCCAAGCAAAAAAAGGGAAACCTTTCCCTTACATCCTTCAGGAAGTTCCTTTTTGCCAAAGTTTTAGGAAAACAGTTGTGTTGCAGTGCTGGGGGATTTTGGTGATGGTCTTGTGAGACACCAAAATGGCATCGCCCGTCACCAAACCCGGGTATTCCCACGCCAGCAC